TTTTACCGGCCAAGATGGTGGCGGCAATTTACACGATCTACAATTTTATGAACAGGGTGGCGAAGTGCGGCCCCGCAATCAGGCGATGCGCATATTTAAACGTGTTAAATAATTTTTATTCAGCATTCACTTTTTGATACTTTAATTTTATTGAATATGTTCAAACAATACAAATAAATATGATGTTTATTTTTGCGACCCAATGTTATTTATTTGGAAATATTCATGATAACAAATTGGGTTAAATGATAGTTATAAACACTATTATTTATGAATATATTTGACAAATTGATCTTATTATTTAAGTTTACATTTATAGATTATAGAATTTGAGTTTTGTAAATTTTGGTTTAATAGTATATTTATAAGAATCTTTTAAATTAAGCTAGGCAAATAATGTATTCTTATGGGAGGTAAAAAGAAAATTATTTTGTACTATACTATATCTAATGGGATACTAATAAAATTAATTTTTTGGATTAATCAGAAATATATATACACTGTAAACAAGTTTTCTACAAGTTTCAGGTAAATAAAACACTTGATGGAAAATAACAATTGAGTATTAAAGTGATATAACAAATAATCATCGTGGGAATTATTTTTATAAATCATTGAACCATTTTTACATTGAAAAACTAATTGTTAAATAAAATATTAAGTACATTGTAATTCTTAAAATTGATGTGAAATTGATATAAAGTTATTGATACATAAAATATAATAAATGTTACTAATATTTATGCTAGGATTATCTGCTAATAATTTATTAGTATAAATACGAGTAATAACTATTCAATCAATTACAATTAAAACTGCTTGTATAAGTGATATAAGCAATATTATTGTCTATGTAACTAATACAATTAATTAAACAATAATGTACATGTTGTTCATACTTTTATTGATCACTTGCTTTAACGGTATGTATCCATTAAATTAGCTATAGAATAATAGTTAAAATATAAATTATTATAAATACTTGCTTGTTAAATGTCATTATAATATATAACATATAGCAAAACCAATCACATCCGAGAGCGCGTGCGGAGATAGTTGGGAAGCATTTCACGACGAGTACTACGACATATGATACAAATATTACCCAGGTGCTTTGGGAGACTACGCAACAGTGGCCACGGCTTGTAGGGGAGAATTGGAGTCATCCCTGCCTACAATTAATTCGCAAGATGAGCAACAATTTCTTAACAAGCTCATTAACAAATACAAAATAGTGGACAGCGTATGGCTCGACGCCGGCGTTAAAGACAAACACATCGTATGGACGGACAGTACGAGTGCTGACTACGAGAATTGGATACCCGGCCGACAAATTAATAATAGTAATTGTGTGGAAATGGTAACCGACCAAGCTCACATTGGACAGTGGCTAGATGAGCCATGTAACAAGAAAAATGCTTACTTATGCAAGCGAGTAGTCATGTGGTCAGGTCAACGTACAGAGCGTTTGATCAGGGACAATCGGCGAGTATTAGATAACTACATGAAGCATACTACTATTTTATTAAACTCGGCTATCGCTATAATTGAGCATTTGCTAGTCGCTCAGCAAGATACTGACGCGAAAATTGCCTTGTTAGAACAAACTAAAGTGCCCATCGGGTTTATATACACACAGTTGCCCGACCAGGCTGATCCCAAAACCCTATGGCCAACATACACGTGGTCAGATGTGACGGCCACATACGCGGGTCAGTTTTTCCGGGCTGAAGGGTCAGGCAGTTTAGCGTTTGGTAAGGGTGTTCAAGCTGAAAATTCACCTAGATTGTCAAACGTACATTACGAGAGCACAGTTGACTACGCGAAAGATATTACCCTAATTCCCGGTGAGTGGAGTAAATATATTTATTCCGGTTCCGAGATTACCGGTGCGACCGACTATTTCCTAAAGTTTTGGATGACCGGGGGTGAAGTGCGGCCCCGTAATCAAGCTGTGCGCATATTTCGACGAGTTAAATAAATGCATTATGTTATAAATAATTAAAGTTATGTAAAATTAAAGCAATTAAAATAAAATTCATAACAACTTTATGACTATACTAATTTTATAAAGTAATATCAAATATATTTATTAACTTATAAATTATAATTGTATAATTTGTTTATAAAACACACCGATTCTAATATTTTACCGACATAATTTTATACCTTGTTAGTAACCGGACCAATGGAGCAATTGGCTATTTTCTGGCGCCAGCACTGGTAAAGTTCCTCACATATCTATAAAGTTTATGGTTAGTGGGGGTGAAGTGCGCCCCCGGAATCAGACGGTGCGTTTGTTTAAACGTACCAAGTAGCATTAAATTTATTGACTAATTTTGGTAAACTAGTAAAAATTAAGTTTAATTAAATTTTCGTTAACACCTAAATGTTTGTGATCTCTTAAATTACATAAATTAAAATAGTATCTTTCTACAATTAATGAAATTAAATATTATAACTACTTGAGCTTTTGCATTAATAGAATTAAAATTATTGAATTATTTATTTTATAAACAATTGTTAAGAATAATCAAATAATATTACAAGTGGGTAAACACAGAAATGTACAAAGTGATATTTTACCTTAAAATAAAATTATTTTATAACTTATGTCAGATTGACAGTTTAAACAGACAAGTTATATCAGGTATCACAAAAATATAACTTAATCCCGGTGGGAAATATTTTTATGGGAATATGTCATTTTGTTTTAATCTATTGTCATTTAAAATTACATTCCTTATGAAATATTTAACATAAATAAAATCCATAATAATCTGAATAACATTGAAGTTGACTATAATGTCAGCCAAACCTATGTTTAAATTGATCTACTGTACCGTACGCCTGGCCGAAGGCTGATCGGTTTGATCTGCAGTTTTTCCCTCAATACATCGTCTATTGGGGACGGCATAGACATACACTATAACCTCAGTAGACATGCCGTTTTATAATTGAAACTTTGAAATGTAAAAAAGCGTTTTTATACAGCTGGAGATAGTTAAGACTAGTAACAACACGTAAAGAAAATAAAAGGATAAAGGTCAGTGTTAAAGGGTATAATGCCGAACAAGACTATGCCCAATTGTGTGATGGGATGGACTTGGGAATTATTGTTATAAAATGAAAAAACATTCAATAAATAGTCGAGTGATATATTTCATATGCATTAAAAACAAACATATTGTTTGGGCGGATAGAAGTAGTGGTGAATACGAGAACTGGATGTCCGGTCGACCCGTCAATAATGACAACTGTGTGGAAATGTTGGCCGACGAGGTTAATCGTGGTAAATGGGCAGATGAACCATGCACAAAGATGAATGGGTACATATGCAAGCGTGTGGTGATGTGGTCGGATCAAGAGACAGAAAGATTGATCAGAGACAGTCGCCGGCTATTGGACGCGGCTGTTAATAGAATAGCTAACCTAGAAGAGAGGTTGAAACAGAATCAAGTACCGATTGGTTTTATATATATACAGCTACAAGACCAGGCTGATCCCAAATCACTGTGGCCCGCATACAAATGGTCAGATGTGACGGCCACATACGCGGGTCAATTCTTCCGGGCCGAAGGTAACGGTAGTTTAGAATTTGGCTAGGGCGCTCAGCTTGAAAATGCACCTAGATTAGCCGATGTAAGAGACGAATGGAATGTTGATTGGGATCATGATGCAATCATTACACCTGGCGTGTGGAGCAAAAATATATTTAGTGGGTTTGATACTGGTGGCCAATTTAGACATTCTCACAAATTCTTGGTATCCGGGGGTGAAGTGCGGCCACGCAATCAAGCGATTCGCATATTTAAACGTACTGTATAAAATTTAACAGTACGGTAATAACGCCCTGATACAAAAATAACTCTATTTTTATACACACAACAATTTTTTACATATTTTGATAGAAATATTGTAATTATTATATTATGATTAGTACAACCTACCTTTAATAAACACTATTAATTAAGAAACTCTATAAATAAATTATACAAAGTAAAACAATATAATAATTTATATTTGTTATTTTAATTAAATTATTTAATAATTAGACATAACACAACAATTAAACAAATTAAAAAATATAATTTTATAAAAATAATTTTATAACATCATAGATAAAATATAAAGGGGTAGTCAAGGTATCTCGCAAACGCGGTTTGGTCAATAACTCTGAAACTACAAGAGATAATCCTATTTTGTCGAAAGCATTTAAGAGTGCCTTATACGCTAGTTCTTCTGAATATCTTACTTTTAGATTGTGGTCACGTGGTATACTCAAAATGGGACAATTCCAAATTGCCTAGTTACAAGTTTAAACATAAGAGATAGAGAGATGGTCTCAATACAAACTGTGTAAAACAATAAGAGTTGAGTACAATAAAAAAGGAATTATTAAAATCGGGCCAATACTTTAGTTTTAATGGCTCACCAAAAACAAGCTTTTTTACATTTCAAAGTTTCAATTATAAAACGGCATGTCTACTGAGGTTATAGTGTATGTCTATGCCGTCCCCAATAGACGATGTATTGAGGGAAAAACTGCAGATCAAACCG